TAAGGGGGATTTAAAAATGGTGGCGCCCTGGAACATGCAAATGAAGCCCAGGATATTGAAATCCCGGGCTTCATTTGCAACTCTGCTTTCAGATACCCTCTGACAGGTATCTGAAAACTTCTTGTTTAAATGTCTAAGTGCTTTCATTTCCAGGGGAAATAAATATTGTATAGAATATATGCCAAGCAGTCCAATAGTTTTTGAAGTAAAATGTATATGGATTATCTAGGAAGATGCACTGTGAATAAATTTGTCATGATTTACTCAAAAAGTCAAACACATAGCAGGTCGTTCATGCAAAGTTCACATTTCTTCATTTTACCAAATTTTATACAATTTATTTGTTCTGAGAGATTATTCAAAACTTGCTGCTCATGCAAATTGAAACATTCTGCATGGATAGTAGCACAAGTACGTCACAATATGTTCAGAGGAGTCAAAGGCCTGAATGGTCCTTTATCCATAATTACTGCTTTTGCATGGATATGATTGCAGATGGGTTATCAGACAGAATGCCCTCTTGCTAATGACATACAACACAGCAGTTATATATAGCTGCTTTAAAATTAGCCATTCATTAAATTGTGGAATTGTTTTTGAAGACATAATATAGTAAGTAACTATTCTTTATTTAAAAAAAGGTTTGGTAATAAAAGCCTCATTTCTAGTATAATTACAGAATTTGCCAAGATGACATGGGGGCTAAAGAAGCTCCGAGATAAATGCCTTAAGATAATTCCACATTTTCTGGGGATTTTTAGATAATCTCCTAAATAACTTGCAATATAATTTAGTAAGGGCACAAACACTCAAATAAATTTTAGGCAGAACTCATCTGAAGAGAGGAAATTAAAAAGGGGGGAGCAGCGAGTCATAGCTACTATGAACTTCCTTGCTTTGCAAACCCATTATTGTCTGTAAAGCCAAACATTGTTTCCAGGCCATGGTCAGGGTTTAGTGGGCTTCAGACAAAAGTCAGATCCTCGTTCAATTTTTTCGTCAGTCTCTGCCATTTGCCATCTTCTCCTTACTTATTTTTAACAAAATTGTTTAATAAAAATTGCCAAATTGAGGTTTTTAATGCTTGTAATATTTCTGTAACCATCATAATAAATTTTAATAATTTTCTTTTATGTTCAAATATATCTTCCAGAAGATCCAAGGCAAAGTAACCAAAGTAGGGATAACAATGAGGGCAAATGAGTTACTGAGGCTATGCCTAGACTGCAGGATTCTTTTGGAAGAACTTTTTTTGGAAGAGATCTTCTGAAAAAACTTCTTCTGAAAGAGAGCATCCACACACAAAAGTGCATCAAAAAAGCAATCTGCTTTTCTGAAAGATAGCGTCCTCACTGAATGGATGCTAGCTCACATTTCAGCTGTGATTACTATGGATGGAATGGCACAGGACACCTGTGCTTTTTTCTCTTTCTTCTTCTTTCAAAAGAGCTCCCTCTTCCCCATCCACCCATGCCTTTTTGTGAAAGTGCTCTTTCACAAAAAGGCTTCTTCCTCATAGAAAGAGGGTTACCAACGCCAGAAAAACCCCTCTGTTCTTTCGATTTACTTTCAGAAGAACGTGATTGCAGTGTAGACGCAACTCAGGTTTTGTTGGAAAAATGGCAGTTTTTCTGACAAAACTCTGTAATGTAGACATACCCTGAGTTGGGATGAGGTGGCAGACCAGACCAGTAGGAAGCTGTAAAAGTGTGCCATCCATTTTAACTTACAATCTAGAAATTAATACACAGGATCAGTGTATATTCCACTCCCCGCATTTTCACTCTGCTAGCAGTCAACCTTGTCATCACTTAGGATATGTCTACACTACCCTCCTAGTTCGAACTAGGAGGGTAGTGTAGACATACCCTCACTTAGCCACTCAACCTTTTCCACAGAAACCATTGTTTATCAGCTTCAAAAATACACCTACAATCACCCACTCACTTTCCCAGTTCTGCCCCTTTCCAATCCCCCCCATGCAGATAATTTCCCTGCATACATACTACCATTATCACCTCTTATCTCACTCTTCAGATTCCTATCTCTATAACACCAATGATATCACCTCTCCTTTTATCTTAGGACTGGGGAGAAGAAACCAGGGGTAGGAAGGTCTGGGATTGTTTATCAAACATTCTGAGAAAACTGATGTAAAGGCTGTCCTTTCTTCTATCCTTGCCATGGAGGAGAAAGCCAACCGGTTCGACCAGGCAGTGAGCATGCAATACATGATTCCAGTGTCTTTGTGTGTGTGCCTATCTCTCTTACTAGGTCCAGGCTCAGACTAGGGATGTAAAATCCCCTTTAATTAATTAACCAGTTAAATGTTAAGTTTAATCAGTTAACTGATTAAACAGAGGTTGCTATGGGCGCTCCAAGCTGCTTCTGGCTCCATGCTAGGTTGCCAGCTCCCAGCTCACACAGATTGGGAGTCAGCAGCCTCAAGCGAGGCCAAAAGTGGCAACCACCACCCTTTCCAGCTGCCACGTCCAGCCATGTGCAAGGCCGCTGACTCCTGCCCCACATGGGTTGGAGCTGGCAGCTCTGTGTGGCTGAAGCTGCCCTCCGCCAGCGGCAGGCCACAGTTTGAGAACTGCTCCTGCATAACGGTTAACTGTTACCCAGTAAGGGTGATATTTACCAGGTAATTGGTTACCTGTTCACACACCTAGCTTACACCCTATTA